TCACTGGAGGACAGGACCAGAGCTGGAAGCCAGTAGATGGAAATAAAGAGTGTGGCAGGGTGGTATTACTGATCAGCACAAAGCTCAAAACAGCACAGGGTTCCGCGGAAGGGAGGGGACCACTGGTGTGGAAGCAGCACTGGAAGGCAGCAAGGCCGCTAACCCACAGCCAGACCCGAGACCGTGGGACAAGGGAGAGACGAGACTTATCTGTGAGGTACCGTATTCCCCCATGTATAAGATGCACCCTTTTCCGAAAAATTTGGGGTCTAAAAACTGGGTGTGTCTTATACAGTGATTGTAGTTTTTTTTTTACTTGCATTTCCTGCTTTTTTTGCACTTGTTTTTGCACTCACACAACCACTGTATAAGATGCACCAGTGTTTAGACCCCAAATTTTTCGGAAAAGGGTGCGTCTTATACATGGGGAAACACAGTATATTGATGACATCCCTGTGTTTACAAGGAGCTCATGCTCTGAAGAATTAATAATGGCCAACGAGAACAGTATTACTTGTTCCCATTCACCTCACCTCCCCAGCCTTTCCTTTGATCCTCAATATTGGTTTATAAATAATCACAGCAGGAGAATTTGGAAAGCTGGGTATTTTTTAATTAAAATGTGTGTGTGTGTATGTATATGACATGAGAAGGGGAGGGGTGCATTTAGGGTTAAAGCAGTATTTTTCACCAGCAGTACTGTTGACATTTTGGGCCAGGTCATGCGTTGTTGGGGGCACTGTCCTGGGCTTTGTAGGCCTCTACCTACTAGATGCCAGTAGCACCCTCTCCTGAGTCATGACAACCAAACATGCCTCCAGATAGTGCCAAATGTCCCCTGGGGATAAAACTTGCCCCTGTTGAGAACCACTAGGTTAAGGGTATATTTAGAAAAGAAATGAGGACAGGACGCAATTCAGATAGCAATTCAGATAAACTGACAAAACTTTGGTCTTCTCAGTTTGTGGGCCTGATGGCATTCAATTAGGCTTCTCCAAAGTTTAGCATAAGCTCAGTTATTTATAATAGCTACTTTCTACTGCCTCAGTTTCCCCTGAGTTGGCCGTGTAACAGACATCAGTGGCAACATTCCTTTTTTGACTGCTGGGAAGTGCTGGTGAAAGAAAATGAGTGTCACATGCCTTCTCCTGAGACTTGACTTCGAGCCTGTTCTCAGCCTCACATTTTCCATTTAAAAATATGGTCCTTGAAATGAACATACATCTTCCTTAAGGAAGCTATGTTCCTGCTTAAGTGTATTTGAAGAGTTGAAATACATAATCAGCACTGTCTTTATTCAAGGGAAAAACGATCTCATATGGTATCATTTATTAATATCAATTCAGTAATTTTGTTCCTAGGACATTTATCTCAGAATGAATTATGAACATCACTCAATACACAAATTAAACTGGTTTTCAAAATATTTGAGAAAATGACACAAGGCAATTCAACAACAAAGAAATAAACAACTGAATTTAAAAATGGGAAAATGACTTAAAATAGGTCTTTCTCCAAGATATATGAGTGGCCAATAAGCACAGAAAAAGATGCTCAAATCACTCTTAGGGGAATGCAACTCAAAACCACAGTGAGGTACCCCCTCATACCCCTTAGGATGCCTAAAAGCAAACAGAAAACAACAAGTACTGGCAAGGATGTGGAAAAATTGAAACTCTTGTGAACTGCTGGTGGGAGTATAAAATGGTGTAGCTGCTATGGAAAACAGTAAGGCAATTCCTCGAAATAATAAAGACAGAATTACATATTATCCAGCCATTCTACTTCTGAGTTTATATTCAAAAGAGCTGAATGCTGTGCTATCTGTACAGCCTTGTTTACAGCAGCATTACTCACAACAGCCAACAGGTGACAGCAACCCGAGTGTCCACTGACCACGGCTTACCGTATAAGGGAATATTAGTCAGCCTTAAACAAAAACAAGGCAATTCTGACACAGGCTATAACGTGGATGAACCTTGAGGACATTATGCTAAGTGAAATAAGCCAGTCGCAAGAAGAAGAGAAATACTGTACTGTGTGATTCCTCTTATATGAGGTACCTGGAATAGTCAAATTCACAGAGAGGAAATAGAATGGTGGTTGCCGGGGCCTGCAGGGAGGGAGGAACGGGGAGTTGTGGTTTAATAGCTACAGAGTTTGTTTTGCACATGAAAAATGTCCTGGAGAAGGATGGTGGTGATGGCTACATGACAACATGGGTGTACTTAATGCCACTGAACAGTACACTTAAAAATGCTGAAGATGGGGCCGGCTGAGTGGCGCGATGGTTAAGAACTGGCTTGGGACGCCAGAGGGCCCCGGTTCGGATCCCACATATGAGGGCCAGTGACACTGCCCTCTATAGCTGAGATGCTGAACAACAGCTCAACCTGGAACTGGGCTGCCGTGAGTCGCCAGCGACGGCGTAGGCTGTGGCAGTGGGTTGCCATGGACTACGGTGTGTAGCCAGCAGCCAGTGTGAGAGGCTAGCAGCCGCAATGAGCGGCTGTCCAGAAGCCGGCAACTGATCTGCCTCACCCGGGAAGAGCGCAATGATGGTGCCAACTTGGGCCAGTGAAGCAACGTCCTCCACAACTAGACTGAAGAACAAAACGACAGCAACTTGTCTGTTCCCCTTCCCCCAATTCCCCAGCACTGTTCCCATCCCCCCAATTCCCCAATAAAAATCTTTAAAAATAAAAAATGCTGAAGATGGTAAATTTTATGTTTTGTGTATTTTACTACAATTAAAAAATTTTTAAAATACAAGAAATGGCAGGAGAGGATTAGCTGAGCTTAAGGCAATATTTATTCAATTTCCTTGCAATCATATTATCTAAGGCATTAAGTGGTGATTACTCGGCAAGGATACAATTCCTTTTAAGGCCTTCTGTAGTGGGATTTTAGTTCAGAAATACATTGTATTTGGTGCAAATTTGAGAGAACTTACTCTGGCATGGGCTCTTCATCATGAGAAATGCATCTTTTTGCCCAGTCACTTTTGGGGGCAGGCCATGGCCGGTTTTGCAGCTGCTCTGAAGGTCACCTGGGTCACTATGGCCTTACCGAGGAAAGTGCAAGTGGGCCATAGTGGGCTCTGCTCGCCTCAGGCTGTGTTCTCAATGATGACTGCGATCCCTTGGCCCCCCCCAATGCAGGCAGATCCAACTGCGTACTTTCCACCTCGACGCCTGGGGAAAAAAGCAGTGGCTGAAATCTACTCGAATAAGGAGTTAACAGAATTGATCAGATAATTAATTGAATAGAATCACTAATGGTCACATTTGTATAATTCATTCTCATTCAGCTCATCATCTCAATATTTTCCTCAATCCGCAATATTAGTTTATAGCCACAACAGGAGAATTTGGAAAGCTGAACATTCTTATTAAAAAAAGTAGTAACACAGAAGAGGGAGGTTGAAAGCTACATACAAGCTTAGGTGTGCTGTGAGACAGGAGTGGGGTAGGCGGTAACTGAGATAAACGGGGAATAGAGGCAGGGGAGTAAGCATTCAGACCCTTTGATTTACATGGTTTTAGATTTTTATGGCAACTTAGAATAAGTGTAATTAGTGAAGTTTGTCCATGTGAAAGTCAGATCATTTAGAAACACTTCATGTCCCTTTCATAAAAATTAGACTCCTATTAAAGTACCATCTGTTCTCATTCCTCAGTCCTGATGGAACGACCTTGAATAAACCATCAGGAATTATTTTTGTACACGTCAATCACTCATTTCGACTCAGTGAAACACTAAGTGATATAAGAGTCCCATTTACCTTAACCTAACTAACAGGGAGGGAGCCAGCATGGCTTTTTGACCTGACATATTTGGTTTCATCTGCAATTTTTTCTAGTAACAGAGCAAAATGGTCCAAAATACACAGTACCAGAAAGGAGAAGCTCTTCTGTCAAAACTGAAAAGTACCAAACACACACAAAGCTCCTCCTGGAACCCTGGGAACAGCGAAGGAAAAGCTTAGCTCAGGCTAAAATTGTCAGGTTGCTTAGGTTTCCTAAATGACAGCAACTAGGTCAGGAAACTCTCAGTGTTTTCTGAAATCTTTTCTTTTCCTCCCATAGCTGGCACTAGAGCGCAAGTGCCATGAGAACCAGGACCTCATCATGTTCTCCTACTGTCCACCAGCACAGGGATGGGGCCATACGCACGTGGCCCCTCAGTGAACACACAGCAAACATGAGTAAGAGCGCACGTCCCAAGAGCAGAGCCACTACCAAGTCACTGGGCCATCTATAAGGTCAGCTAAAAGGGGGTGCCCAGGTAACTTGTTCCCGGTGAGGAGCCATACAGGGGGATCTGAGAAAGAGTAAATGATGTTGGATTGTTCTGGGGAAACCCAAATCCATGCATTTCTACAAGAGGAGAATCTGAAATGCAATGATTTCTAGCAAGTACCTTAATTCATGGACCAGGTGTGCGGTAATTCTTGACCCAGATCCTGCCAATGGGTGACCTAAAGCAATGGCTCCTCCATTCACGTTGGTTTTACTTGGGTCAAGACCCAAGCTCTTCTCCACAGCCAAGTACTGCGGAGCAAAGGCTTCATTCACCTTAAAAACAATTGAAACACTGATAAAAATCCTTATTCACAAACTCATTTTTAACTGAGAATTGTCCAGTTCCATTGATAGCTAATTTTGCTGTTTTTTCCTATTTCAATTACCTTGCAAGGTTATTTTATCTTTAGTTGTTTTTGTAAAGATATCAGGTTTGAAAATGGGTATATTTACTAACTAGTACTTTAAGCCAAATGCATCCCTTACATAAAAGAAATCCTCAGTAATGTTATAAATGGATACTAGAGGCAGTGGGATACGGTAGAACCCACATGTTCTAGAGCTAGATGGACGGTTCAGATCTTGGCTGTACACATGTTCTTTAAACTCTTGAAACTCAAGTTTCCTCAACAATAAAATGTGACTGTAGTATCATCCTAAGAGTTATTGTCAAGGTTAAGTTAAATCATGGGTATTAAGTGTCTAGTGTATTACCTGACACATAGCAAGTACTCAATAAATGGTTACTATTATTATTACTCCCCAGTACTACTACCCATACTTCCAAGAGACTGATAGACAACAAATAAACATTCAGAGCCGGATACATAAGAGGGATGGTTACTGTGTTGAAATGTGGCAGAACTTGAAAAGTATCATATTGTTGTATTATACTTAACAAGGCTGGCTATGCGAAATAACCTTACTTCAAGTTTATAGCACTATATTTTCATATGATTGCTGCTAGAGAATTTTATAAATAAGAAAAGTGATTTTAAAAAAGGTAACTTTTATAGAGCTGGGATTGAAATCAAGTCTTGTGTTCTTTCCTACTATATTTTGTGCTCTCCCAAGATGGCGCCCTATTTGTCCTTAGACTCAACATTATTTTCCATTTTATATAGTCATGCTCAAGGAGGTACTAAGAGAATATGTTGTGAAATTAGGCTTTTGAACCTAGGAAAAACTACCATGTGTTCATCAAATATCCCAAAGACAACTACATTTAGGGTGTTGAGAGTTATTTCCTTGAGTATTTTATATCTATGAAAGATTATGAAAAGCTTTGAAGAGCTGACATATACCAATAGTTTTAAGAGTGAAATCTAAAGTCAGAAACTTAGTGGTACCTATTTGCTAATACAAACATAGTAATTAAGCAGCCACCTTGAGGCTCTGAACTGTTGACTGCCCAAGAATGGAAGAAGAGGTTTAAGGATAAAGCACTTATTTGAAACCAGGATTTCCTGGGTGAGAGATTACCACAGAGGAAGTCACACATGTGCCTAGAGTGAAAAGGCTCCCTCTATAAATTTAAATGGGGGATTTCCTGTGTTATATTCATTATTTCCCAATGTTAAGTGGCATACGCTTAATTACCTAAAATTTTCAAATATCCCCAAAATGCAGATTGTATAATCTATCTTTAAGTATTTTCTTCTCTATCCCTTCTTTTAATTGTGCTAAATACTTGAAATGCCTTTGTTCTAAACCAACATTTTAAAAAATCACTCTACCAATAAATTTAAGCTTCCAATGCCAAAAATTGTGATAGGTGCATCCCAAATCAAGCCACAGCTAAAAGCCAAGGTGAGTTTGGTGGTGGTGGTGGGGGGTGTTTTCACTTGAGTGGAGAGCAAGAAACTTCTAGATTTGCACCAGATATTATTTTTCTAGTAGGTCAATTCTTTTTTTTTTTAAATACAATTGTTTTATTTTTCAACTACAGTTGATATGCAATATTAGTTTCAGGTGTACAACATAATGATTAGACATTTATATAACTTATGAGGTGATCACCTCAATAAATCTAATACCCATTTGACACCATACAAAGTTATTACAATACTATTGACTATATTCCTTATGCTATACTTTACATCCTCATGACTATTTTGTAACTACCAATTTGTACTTCTTAATCCCTTCCCCTTTGAACCCCCCAAACTCTCCTCCCTTCTGGCAATGGTCTGTACCTATGAGCTTGTTTCTGTTTTGTTTATTTTGTTTTTTAGAAATCATATGGTATTTGTCTTTCTCTGACTTATTTCACTTAGCATAGCCCTCTAGGTCCATCCCTGTTGTTGCAGATGGTAAGATTTCATTCTTTTTTATGACTAACATTCCATTGTATATATGTACCACCTCTTCTTTATCCATTCATCCATTGACGGACACCCAGGTTGCCTCAATATCTTAGTTATTGTAAATGATACTGCAATGAACATATGGATGCACATGTCCCTTCAAATTAGTGTTTTGGGTTTCTTCAGATAAACACTCAGAAGTGGGATTACTGGGTCCTTCTGTCTCTTGTTATAGCCTTTGTTTTAAAGTCTTTTTTGTCTGGTGTAGGTATTGCTACCCTAGCTAGCTTTTTTTTTTCATTTCCAATTTCATGAAATATCTTTTCCATCCCTTTACTTTCAGACTGTGTATGCCTTTCAATCTGAAGTGAATGCCTTGTAGGTAGCATATGTAAGGGTCATGTATTCTTATCCATTCAGCCACTCTATGTCTTTTGATTGGAGAATGTAATCCATTTACATTGAAAGTAATTATAGACAGACATGTATTTTTTATCATTATTCATATTTTGATCTTTTATTTCCTGTTTTGTCTTAAAGAAGTCCCTTTAATATTATTTTTTTAGCTGTTGGCAGCTCAGTGGCAGGTCAGGTTGGGCTGGGAATAGAACCGCTGTTGCTCAGAACTCACACTCTTGAGCGAGCTCTTAACCAACTGAGCCACTCGGCAGCTGGCCCTTAGTATTTCTTATGATACTGGTTTGGTGGTGATGAACACCTTTAGCTTTTTCCTCTCTGGGAGCTCTTTATCTGTCCTTCGATTCTAAATGATAGCTTTGCTGGGTAGAGTCATCTTGATTGTAGGTCCTTGTTTTTCATCACTTTGAATATTTCAAGCCAATCCCTTCTGGACTTCAGAGTTTCTTTGAGAAATCAGCTTAGTTTTTTATGAGAGCTCCCTTGTAGGTAACTAATTGCCTTTTTCTTGCTGCTTTTAAGATTCTCTCTGTCTTTTCCTTTGGCATTTTAATTGTGATGTGTCTTGGTGTGGGTCTCTTTGGGTTCATCTTGTTTGGGACTTTCTGTACTTCCTGGGTTTCTGTGTCTATTTTCTTTGCCATGTTTGGGAAGTTTTCCATCATTATTTTTTCAAACAGGTTTTCAATTCCTTGTTCTCTCTCTTCTTCTGGTACCACTATGATGCAAATGTTGGTATGCTTGATGTTGTCCCAGAGGCCCCTTAAGCTATCTTCAAATTTTTTTTTTGGATTCTTTTTTATTTTTGCTGTGCTAATTGGGTATTTTCTGCTACCTTATCTTCCAAATCACTGATTCGATCCTCTGCTTCATGTAATCTACTGTTGATTCCCTCTAATGTAGCCTTTATTTCAGTTATTATATTCTTCATTTCTGACTGGTTCTTTCATATGTTTTCTATCTCCATTTTTATGTTTCCTATTTCTTTTTTGAAGTTCTCATTAAGATCACTGAGCATCTTTATAACCAATGTTTTGAACTCTGCATCTGATAGATTGTTTGACTCTATTTCGTTTAGTTCTTTTTCTGGAGCTTTGTTCTATTCTTTCATTTGGGACATGTTTCTTTGTCTCCCCATTTTGGCTGCCTCCTTATGTTTGTTTGTATGTATTAGGTAGAGCTACTGTGTCTCCTGGCCTTATGTAGTGGGTGTCCTGTAGGACCCAGTGGTGCAGTCTCCCTGGTCACCTGAGCCAGGTGCTCCAGGTGTATCCCTTGTGTGGGTTGTGTGTGCCCTCCTGCTGTAGTTGAACCTTGGTTGCTGTTTGCATGTCAATGGGAGGGATTGACCCTCAAGTTGATTTTTTGTGAGGATTGTCTGTGACTACAGTGGAGGAGCTGTTGTGCAGAGGCTGACCCTATGGAGCAGGATTTGATTTAGCAGGGCTCTGGTGCCTGCCCAGCCTTTGGGTGTGTCATCTGTGGAGGCAGCTGAGTGGTGCTCTGGCTATGTCTGAAGCCAGTTACTGGCATGCCAGACCCAGGGCTTCCTGGAATGAGCCACAAAGCAATACACAGATTGCCGCCACCCTGCTGTGCTTGGAGGTGCCTGGGAAAAGCCAAGCTGCTAACCGAGGCTGGCTGCCATTAGTGTTGGGCTTGGGGATATTTAGTAAGAGGTACGGGGCATACTGAGGGCAGATGCTGCTTGTTTGGGGTTTGTGAACCTTTGAGAGATCTTAAGAAAGTCCACAGTACGAGCCAAGACAGTCTGTTTGTATGGAAAAGCCTTGTACTGAAAATGGCTTGGGTGTGCCCAAAAGTTGGGTGGGGCAGGGTCTCAGGGAATCACCAGGGCGAGGCTAACGGTGTTAGCTGGGTTGATGAGGACTCAGATATGGCATGCCCTAAATCTGAACACTGGGAGAGGAGACAGCCCAACAAAGAAACTATGGCTTCTGCAGGCACTTCTGTCTGGGAGAAAGCCGTCCCTCTTGCAGTGAAGCCAAACGATTCAACTCCTCCCTGTATGTCTTCGGCACTTTTCGAGCTGCCGCCCCAGTGCTGGAGCTCAGAGCGAGTGAGTCCGTCAGTGAGTAAGTCTATGTACAGGCCTTTTAAGAGCAGCGCCTGGGACTCTAGCAGCAATACGTCTCACTCAGCCACAATCTCCCCTGGTTTTCACGGCCAGAAGTTATGGGATCTTCTCTCCCCGGCACTGGAACCCTGGTCTGGGGAGCATGGTGTGAGGCTGGGAAACCTCGCTCATCAGGGGGACCACCACAGACAAGATATCCCTCCTGATTTTTAACTGCCACCTGCGGGTGTGGGATCTGCCCATTTTGTGTCTCTGTTCCTCCTACCAGTTTCAACATGGCTTCTATATGTCCTCAGTTGTAGGACTTCTGTTTAGCTAGACTTCAGGCAATTCTCAATGATGGTTGTTTTGTAGTTTAGTTGTAATTCTGATGTTGTCATGAGAAGATGCAAGCACAGCATTTACCTATTTTGCTGTCTTAACTGGAAATAGGTCAATTCTTCACTTGTATTTTTTTCACTTTAATTCATAAAATAGGGTTAAAGTTACTTATTTCTCACCTACTTTATATAATCATTTCAATTCAACAAGCACATTAATAGCCTAAAATGTAATAGTCTTAAAAGGTCCTAAGATTTTCCCAGGAATTTAGTAGGAAAAATCAGGCTGTTTTAATTATTCAAATATAAATAAAACATTTTAATCAGGTAGACAAAAGTACCAACACAAGGCATTAATGAAAGTAATACTTATTTAGATGTACATCATTTGGAAAGGCTAATAGTACTAAAACAAAAAGAGCTATAAAATACCAAACTGAAGTAATTTATGCTATAGAAGCTGGTGGTTTATTCATATTGTAAAAAAGTAGAACACTTACCTCTACCAAGTCCATGTCCTTAAGACTCAATCCTGTTTTCTTCAGTGCCCCATTGATAGCAGAGACAGGGCCTATGTTAGAACAAAAATCAATTTAATCTTACATTTATTTATGTATTAAACTTTTCCATCTCTACTAACTAGGCAAGTAAGGATGAAATAATGTCACAGTTGTTAGTAGCCTCAAATCTTGCTACTTTGAAAACATACTACTGAATGATGTGACAATAGACAGAAAATGGGACCAAGGTGAAAAGCTGTTTATGCAGTCAAATTTTAGATGAGAGACTTACATGAAAAGTTCTACCAAAAATGGCTTTAAGAGTTCTAACAGCCAAAGGAGTCATATATGGGATTTTGCAGTCATTTATAGTTCATAGTTAATACCAAATGGCAAGGCAGACTGAGTGCTCTCCTGGGATACAAATCATATGCATTCCTAGACAGAAGTGATTGTGCCTACATTCTGAATTTTCAGGCCCATTTGGACAAAAGAGAAGAAATAGCAGCAGCATCTCCATATAGGCACAGCAAGAGAGGAAGCTATGAGGCACTTTAGGAAAAAGATGTCTGAAGCATGGAGACGTGTATAACTCCAACAGCAGGCAAAGAATTAAAATAAAACATACTCCCATTGAAGACCTGAAACTTCAGCTCTCAGATTTCTGATGATCACTAATGGTAGTTTAATATTGCTCATAATTTTAAAGTAAATTGATTTTTTCCCCCAAAAGGTAAAAAATCTGGTTAGGGATGATTATCTACTTCTCTATATGTTCTCAGAAGGAATGAAATTGCCGTAAAGGTCTAAAAAGAAAAATATGTGGTATGTTCTATTGAATTCAAGCAGTCAAATATTCTGCAACAGGTTTCACAAATACAGCCAAGGTAAAATGGGAAATCGGTGTTCACAAGAAAAGCATAATGCAATCTAAACATAATGTAATTTACTTTGTCACCTAAATAAAATATTCTTTAGACAACAGTCCACTGATTGGCAGGGCTACGCTTTTCAACTTAAAAGTACCAGTTCTGCGCTGGCTGCTGAGTTAATACAGAATCTAATTCCACATGCTCTTTGAATCTCTAAGGCATGAAAACGGGATGGATGGTTAATAGTAGAGCATCACTATCCACCGAGATCAGGGGATGAAGTATCCTAAGGGGTGAAAGATACACAGAACTAAAAAGCTGAAGGTGTATCACCACTGTACACGTTGCCTGTCTTCATAACCACAGTAAGCATGACTCAGTGTGTTCACGTTAACTCAGAGCCATTACAGGAATTGTAATCATATGCTAGGCCACAACTTGATTTCCTTTTTTTTTTTAAAGATTTTTATTGGGGAATTGGGGGAAGGGGAACAGAGAAGTTGCTGTCCTTTTGTTCTTCAGTCTAGTTGTGGAGGACATTGCTTCACTGGCCCAAGTTGGCACCATCATTGCACTCTTCCCAGGCGAGGCAGATCAGTCGCCTGCTTCTGACGGCCGCTCACACTGGCTGCTGGCTACACACGGTAGCCCATGGCAACCCACTGCAGCAAGGGGTGCAGCCTACACCACCGTCGCTGGCGACTCACGGCAGCCCAGCTCCAGGTTGAGCTGTTGTTCAGCATCTTAGCTGTAGAGGGCAGCGTCACTGGCCCTCATATGTGGGATCTGAACCGGGGCCCTCTGGCGTCCCAAGCCAGTTCTTAACCAACGCGCCACTCGGCCGGTCCCACAACTTGATTTCTAAAGGACAGTTCTCATACCTCTCTGTTATTTACTGGGACTTGGGAAGGTATAATATTCTTGTTGGGAAAAGGAAGCTTTATTTCTAGTCCTGGCTCCAACCACTAATAGCTGTGACCTCAGGCACATTTTGGGGCTACAAGCTTCTCATTAGAAGTTCTTTGAATTGGTTTTTCACTTTTTTCTTTTTAAGCATTGGAATCCTTTCTACAAATGAAGCCCAGTAATAAAGTTAGAGCTGCTCCAGCTGAAGAAGCTCAAAGTTCTACCCATCAAACCCCATCCCTGCCACCCCTGGGGAGTTCCAGGGGGCATTCTTTCCATATCTGCGTCCTTTGTCAGAGCCATTACTGTTCTCCTCAAGTCCTGGCTTTCTTCCTTTTTCTGGGTCTTCAGCTGCTCTGCAGGGTTAAGGATTTCTGCATGTTGGATAACTGCGTAACTGAGGAACAACTATTCTTAGAAATTCTTTGACATCCCTACCAGATACTCAATAATCTATTTCCCCAGGGCACTTCATGGAGTTACCTTGTTTAATCCCATACTACAGCTGACAGACAAGCTGTCTAGGTGAAGGCGGCATCGGACACTGTGGGACATTTGGCTTATACAGTTCTGGTCAAGCCCTGAGGAAAGAAGACAATACTTCCACAATGCAGTCATTGTCCCACAGGGTAAACATCCAGGCCCTGGAATGGAACGAAGGTATTTTCTTTGCTCACTGACTATGTTTATGTATCAGAACCTATTAAATGAGGTTAAACTGATAGCTCCTTACCTATACAGATAAATTTGATAGATCATCAAAATCATCTAGGTACATTGAAAAAAAACCCATATTCCTAGGCTCCACCCTGGACCTGCTGAAACAAAATCTTGTGTGTGTGTGTGTGGGGTGGGGGAAAGGGCGGGGGCGGGGTGGATTTATGGGTGAATTTTGATGATCATTTGCAGTTGGCAACCACTGTTCTAGATACCAAAGTGACAAATGCCATACCAATATACAGATATTTAATTTTTCAAGCTACCTTCCAAATGTATGACAAAAACTATGTTTTGCTGATAGGGAGTAGCTGAAAGCTAATAAGCTTTTAAGACCATAACATGGAGGGGACGGGGGAGGCTTTTAATAGATGTTTCCATAGTCTGCAGTTTGGGTTGACATAATTTGCAACACAGCGAAAGATGACAAGATATAGACATGCCAGCTTTCTTTCTTAGATATTCTATACAAAGATAAATCTTCTCTGAAGGACACATCAGCCTATATGGGTGGGTGTTAACTTAGTCCCAAATCAGCATAAATGGTATTATTTGAGTAGGACCAGTAGGCTTACCATGAAGGGTCTCTGAAAGGCAAGTCAGCAATAGGTCTCCCCCATTCTATTCTGGGACCTACTTCAAAAACCAATTTAGTCAGTCAAAAAAGCCCTAACGAAGCTCACAGAAAAACCTCTGGACTTACCAAGAATCTGAATCTATACCCTGGGGCAAGCTTTTCCTTGGGGTATGAGGGTGTAGATGTGAAAGATCAAAACCTTTAGGGCCGGCCAAGTGGTGCGATGGTTGAGCTGGCTTGGGACGCCAGAGGGCCCCGGTTCGGATCCCACATATGAGGGCCAGTGACATTGCCCTCCACAGCTAAGATGCTGAACAACAGCTCAACCTGGAGCTGGGCTGCTGTGAGTCGCCAGCAACGGCGTAGGCTGCAGTCCCCTGCTGCAGTGGGTTGCCATGGGCTACCGTGTGTAGCCAGCAGCCGCAGTGAGCGGCGTCCAGAAGCTGGAGACTAATGTGCCTCACCCGGGAAGAGCGCAATGATGGTGCCAACTTGGGCCAGTGAAGCAACGTCCTCCACAACTAGACTGAAGAACAAAAGGACAGCAACTTGTCTGCTCCCCTCCTCCCAATTCCCCAATAAAAATCTTAAAAAAAAAAACGAAAAAAAAACCTTTGGGCACCAATTTTATTTTTGTGATGTACTTAATTGGTTCCATTTCCCCAGAAAGTGGTGATAGAAACTATTAAAATTCAGCATCATCTGCGGTTCCTAGGAGTGCATCCAGCAAAAAGCTGCTTCTAATTTAGATTTTTACAGCTAAGACTATACATGTTTGCAGGGAGTTAGAAATCTTCTCTCGCTAGTACCTTGCCAACTGAGATACACTGTTTATGATTCTTCACTTTCCGATTAAGCCTCAGCTGAGCCAGGTGAGTATTACTCTGAGCTCCTGAGATAACACAGTGAAAACGGCACTTGAATTAGAGAGACCTGGATTCACATCCTGGTTCCATCACTTACTGGTTTGGAACTTTATAAGACAACCTCCCTAAGCCTCAGTTCTCTCATTCACAAAGAATCTCTTACTAGAGTTGCGGGAAGATTAAATGAGATGCAAAATGGCCATGTGTAAAACACCCAGAAGGATGTTTAGCTTCTCCATACAGCCTTCTCTAGTGTGCCACATAATTTCTCCCATCTTACATTTTCTTTTATCTTGTCAGCACCTTATAATTCTTCTCTATTATTTTCTGTGTGTTAATTTTAAATATCTCAAATGGACAATAACTTATGATTACTGCCCACAAGGAGTTTACATGGTCTTGGTTTTCTTACTGAGACTAACATAGTTATTCATAAAGGTTAGTTGTTTAAAAAACTGATTGCCAATCTCCTTTTCTCTGTAAGTGATCTTGATTTGGCTACTGTTTCCAGAATCAAAATGCCAAAGAAGACCTCTCTCCAAAAATATAACAGAACCAGTCTGTTTCACTACAAACTTACCAATACCCATAATAGAGGGATCGCATCCGGACACAAAATAGCCCACGACTCTTGCCAATGGTTTGAAGTTATGTTTTTTAACAGCATCTTCACTAGCTATGATAACAGCTCCAGCACCATCACATATTCCCTTGAAAACAAGAACAGAAGATTAACTAGCGGGTAACAGGATCTGGTTAAGTCAAAGTTTGAACTAATGAAGTAGTAGTATCAGGATTATGAAAATACATAGGAAGCAGTACCCTAATTTGGGTTACAACAAATAATACTAGTGGTACTCTGGTCAATTACAGAGGTTGTTTTAGACACAGAATACAACCTTACTAAGGAAAAATAGGAAAGAATGTCAAGGAAAAGCTTATATCCAGATGTGGGCAGATGTAAGGAGAAATCTGATGAGTTGTAAACATGATAGAGAAAAAAAAGTATGAAAGCTGAAATAATAAACCAGGTAATTCCCTTCTAACATTCTGAAAAGACTAAGAAATTGAAGAAGTATTATATAAGGACCCCTGGCTAAAATATTTTGTTTTGATCTATGAAAACCCAAATTAATAGGATATGAACACTATTAGTTTAAGCTGAATGCTAGCATGAAAAGTATCTAAAAGATACCACATGATTATTTTGCGTTGGATACATCAGGAAGAGTTCACGATAATCTGCGATGCTACCTACCGATGCGTTCCCTGCAGTAACGGTGCCGTCTTTCTTGAATACTGGAGCGAGTTTACTTAACTGTTCCATGGTTGTTTGGGGCCGAGGATGCTCATCTACTTGCACTGTCTGTTTTCCTTTCCTTGTCTTCACCTCAATTGGTACCATCTCGTTATTAAAGTATCCAGCATCACTAGCTGAAATAGTCAAAAGACTATCATAAGAATGGGGAAAAAAAGAAGAAAAACAAGAAAAGGAACTAAATAAACCATACCCTTCAATTTCCCTTCTAGTCTATCCTTTCCTCACAGCCTACTTTATTACTTATAAAACTTACTTTGCCTACTGGAGGAATTAATATACTGTTATGCATTCATGCAGATGCATTCTGTACTTTTTAAAAATTATAATTCTGATTTTCTTTTTTTTTTTTTTACTACACCATTTTATAAGGTACTGCTAGACTGTTAACAGTATTTATCGGTTAGCTACCAATGTAATGGCACTAAATGCTTTTAATGCCCTTTTTGAACTTCTCTGGGTGAGATAAGAAGTAATTAAAAAGTTGCCAAGTTTACCACAATAATGTATTGCATACTTAAAAATTTGTTAAGATAGCACATCTCATGTTAAGTGTGCTTAGCACAAGGAGAAAAAGAAAGTTACCAAGTTGACCATGTCACCAATAACTACGACTGAAATTTAATGACAAGCAAACGGAAGAGATTCTATGAGCCGTTCATGACACAGTTCTAAGCAAAACAGCTTACCTGCTTGCACCTCCTTACATACTTCCACTGACTAGATGTGGACTGCAGTAATCCAAAGTTTCCAAAACAGGGTGAGTCTGTAATAATACCACCTTAATTCTGATATTGCTTTACAGTGGGCTACATACTTCCCTTATTCAGTTTTCACAACAACTGTATTAAAGAAATCGGGAAGGCAAATTTTTTTTATCTGTATTATTAGAGATACATATTTATCTCTTTTTTACAGACAGTGAATAAATGACTTGACTGAGGTCAGATAATGTGTATGTGGCAAAACTAGAACTAGAACTGATAAGGCTTGACCTCTAGACCAACACCCTTCCACCTTAAATGTATAACTGAAAACACAAGGGATGAATTGGATGGCATCCGCTCCAATCCACTTAGCCCTCTGAAATGCTGACATGGACTTTATCCTCACTATTCCAAGCAAATATTTAATATCTTAAATAAGAGTTTCCATTTGTTTATAATAATTTAATTCAGAAGTCTTTTTTAGAAGATTAACAAATTTGTTCGATTCACCATACTGATGATGAAAGAACTGCTGTCACATTGCTCATTTTGAACTAATTAAACCTCACTGTGCAGTGTTACACAAGGGTACCACAGTTAGGGCCTGGGGCTGGTTCTAAGCCTCTGAGTCAGGTGCAATGATTCTTAATTAGGAATGGAGCGGAGAGGCATAAAAGGATACCCAGAGGGTCTTTTCCAAACATAGCATCCCCTCCTTGAGAATATAATATGCCTTATGGAGGAAGACATTCTCTCTGTCCCAGTAGCCCCAGTGAGCCATCATCTCTGATAAGAGTGTATCATAGCCCTCAGAGTGTTCTGCTGACAATTGTACCAGTGCAGGTAAAAAATCAAGTATACAGACAGGGCCAATTACTAACACCACTTCTTAAGTAGTAACGTATTTCAAAAGAGAATTTCCCAGTTAATTTTGCAATCAATATCTGATCATATAAAAACAAAGGTATGATGAAAAATGTGATTTTCAAAAGGCATGATTTTAAACCAATATTGTTAGATAATCATTATCTGAAATAAAAATCTTTCCTATAGTTTTTTAAATTGAGCTATAATTGACATATAACATTATATTAGTTTTAGGTCTATAACACAATGATTCACTATTTATATATTGTGAAATAATCACCACAACAAGTCTAGTTTACATTTGTCACCAGGTGGAAATTATAAATTTTTTTTTCTTGTGATGAGAACTTTTAAAATCTGCTCTTAGCAACTTTCAAATATGCAATACAATATTATCAACTATATCATGCTGTACATTACATTTCCATGACTTAACTTATTTTATAACTGAAAGTTTATACCTTTTGACTGCCTTCACCCATTTCACCTATCCCCCCAGCCCTATACAGTTATTCTTCTCTGAATACTTATAATATCCAGTTTCACTAACCAGCCTTCCACCTCTGCTGTGACTGCAAGGCATATTTGTCACAGTCTTCTCTGCTTATTTTATGTTTCTCAGCAAGGTTCTCGGCAGTAATCGCCATGGGGAGTTTGACATGCTGATCTGTTAGTGACGACCACAAAGTATCTTCCATCTATTAAAAGACATTAATAATAAAGTGATTTGTTAAAGCATAGCTTTTGAAAGTAATATGCTATAATTTCTTCAAATTTAAATAATTAACAGTTCCAAAAAACAAAAGTAAATTAGACTTTCTGGTAGTATTTACTATTACTACTATTCATATTTGGTTCTGGGACACTTTTAAAAAACATCCAATAACATAATGACACATTGTCCCCTCTGTCTATAAATGTGGGGCTCTAAAGGGAGCCAATAGTGCTAAAAGTGCAGGGTGAGAACACAGGAAATTATCCTACAATCAAAAACCTTCAAGGTTTCATTTTGTAAGAAGCCTAACAGAGTCGCATCCTCATGCAATGCTTCCTATAGCCACTTCTGTAAACCATGGTTATGAGCTCTGTAGGAAAGAGTATATCTGTGCTCCTTTTTCATCCCATGCCTTCAAGTGATGGGAACAGCTGATTCTATCAGTTACTATGAGGTTGAAAGAACCTGGGGCAGGCTTCCTGAGTAAAAGAACAAATTGGTACGTATTATCAAATTACTCTCTGATAGGTGTGCCATATCTGTTTCTTTTAGATTGCCGCATCACCTTTTGAGTCATTGACTTTCCAAAGGCTTTCTCAAATACATTTGGTGTGTAAAACAATCCCATCTTTACTAAATCTTATTCCTTTCAACTTTCAAAAAGGTGAGAAACCGGGTGAACAGTATAAATGAATCATTACAATTGAGAAATGTTAAAAATGTAAAATGTCATTAGTCCTTTCATATGGGCAGCACACTATCATTCTTTATTAGTGCTATCATTCTCATGCTGTAGCTCTCAGGGGTATAAGGGTCTGTTTTAGTCTGATTGATCTGGGACAATATACTCACTCTGTATTCAAAGAGCATGTTTTCTGTGATGAAGAAGAAATCAATTTGGTAATTCTGAAGATTGCTCCAGAAATAAAACTTCCATAAATCATGGTAAAGATTTAATTACTTGGCTTACTAATTATTCAGTAGAAAGATTAATTCAGCCTTTGACTATTTTTATGATCTGCTTCTTGCCTTCCTCCATCTCCCTAAGTGTTAATTCTACTACCAGAGGTGTGCTAAGATGCTAAGATAAAGTCTAATTTTATGTGGGTTAAAATGTCAAAACTAACAACCAAAATAGGGTTTTGAAATAGCTTACAAATTCCAAATCATATCTTGCCAATCCCCTATTAACAAAATTGGTTTCAAACTTAGTTTTCTCTCCCCAAAAGGTGTTATTAAAATTATTAGTATAATAGCTTGAGAAATAATTTTTAAAAATTTTAATGGTTCCAACCTTGATATCTGATCCAAGCTTGGTTCCAAAACGTATGTTTCTGACACAGTAGGGAGCCTGGCTCATGTTTTCGGTTCCTCCACACAAGACAACTTCGGCATCTTTAACACAAATATCCTATTTAAAAACAAATGAACAACAAAACCCTTTTATTATGACAGAAATGCGTATTAAAAAGTATGTGTTAAGCAGTAAACTAATAGTAAATCTAATCAGTAATCTATCCTAGCTTAGAAAGGACCTATTTCACTCTTTCAACTCTTTCTACTATTTGTATTTCTCAGAAAAGAAGAAAACCACAGGCTTCCCTCCAAAGGCCCAATGTTTAAAATGACTGCTAGGAAAAAATCAGGATCACTATATGTGATATATTGTTATAGAAATAAATTAATGTGAAAATAATTTAATCATTTCAAAATGTCTATTTATTTTATTTTGTAATAAAATGAAAACAGACAAATAAAATTAGATTTCACGGTGTCCCTTTTCCCTGTGCTCAGGGGAACAAATCTATTTGCCCAATTATCCCTTAAAAAGGTCATACTAGTTTGTACTTCTACCCCTACTAACAGTATCATTTAGTTTCTTTTTATAAAATACATTTCTTATCATCCCCTAAATTCGCCAACTCTCTTCCTAGTCTTAGTCTTTATTCAGCGTTTCAAACTGCCTCACAGACCTGGGTTTAAATTCTGCCTCTAAGACTTAGATAGTAGCCTTAATGCCTTTACTAATCAGTTTCCTTGCCAATAAGACAGGAATGATAAAAGTTGTTGCCTCACAGGATGATTGTGAAGATTAACTGAGATATTGAATGTAAATCTAACACAGTGTCTGGCAGGCCTTACCCAATTTTAAGTGTACGGTACATTAAGTACATTCACATAGTTGTGCAACCACCATGTATCTCCAGAACTGTTTCATCTTCCCAAACTGAAACTTTGTACCCATTGAACAATAACTCCCCATCCCCCCTCTCCCCATCTCCTCCTCTCTCCTACACCATTCTACTTTCTGTCTCTATGAATTTGACTACTCTAGGTACCTCACCTAAGTGGAATCCTACAGTATTTGTCTTTTTGTGACTGGTTTATTCCATTTAGCATAATATCTTCAAAGTTCATTATTAGCTTTTAAGAAACTATTTTCTCCCTGTGGATATTTTTCCAAGAAAAAAATCAAATACTGACCTCTCTTAATAAGCACTATAAATAAAAACCTACAGCATTATATTGAAGTGGGACATTTCCTCTTATAGTGTTTAACATATTTCAGAGAATTAAATATAATACTGCCCATACCTGACATCCATTCACAATGGACTGGAAACCAGAGCCACAAAGTCTATTAATAGTGAGAGCTGGGGTCTCTTTTGGGACTCCCACACGCAAACCAACATGCCTTGCCAAGTACACAGCATCTGAAGAAGTCTGGAACGAAGAGAAAAGACAAAGAATTTTCTCTATAAATCTAGGAATTAAGAAGGACAAAATATATGGAAATGTTGGAAATCTTATCAAAAATTATAAACTATATGGCTCTGAGATAGGACATAATGCATATAGCTACATATAATACCTATCTATGTTTATGACTTGAATAAAAACTATAATTTGGTCTACAGGTTTTTCAACATACTAAGTATGAGAAATCCTTATATTAAGTCCTCAGTAGAAGACAGAAATTTATAACAATTAGAGCGATTTAAAAAATGGGATAGGCTACCTCAGGGTAGTCTGTTTCTTAACAAAGGAAATGTCTGAGGCTGTGGTTCTCAACCTTGGCTGCACACTGGAATAACCAGGAGAGCTTTAGATGTACTGACACTCAAGCTCTTAATCAAACCAATTAAACCAGAAAAGCTGTAGGCAGGGCATGGACATCAGGAGTGACAGCAGTCCTCCCTTATGGGCAGTTTCGCTTTCTGTGGTTTCAGTTACCCATGATTAACTGCAGAATGAGATTACTATTCCAGAAGTAAATAAATTATAAGTAAATAATTCATGCATGCCATTCTGTGGCGTGATGAAATCTTGCGCCATCCCACTCGATCCAGGAATCATCCCTTTGCCCAGCATATCCACACTGTGTATGCTACCCACCCATTAGTCACTTAGTAGCCGTCTGGGTTATCAGATCAACTGTCATGGTACAGCAGTGCTTACGTTTAAGTCACCCTTCTTTTACTTCATGGTGGCCCAAAGCACAAAAATAATGATGCTGGCAATTCAGATATGCCACAGAGAAGCCATAAAATGCTTCCTTTAAGTGAAAAGATGAAAGTTCTTGACTTATGAAAAGAAAAAAAAAATCATAGCTGAGGTTGCTAAGACCTACAGTAAGAACAAAGCTTCTAACCATGAAACTGCCTAACTTAAGAATTAAACTTTATCATAGGTATGTATGTATAGGAAAGAACGTATATATATATGGTCTGGTACTATCTGCAGTTTTAGGCATCCACTGAGGGTCCTGGAACGTAGCCCCTGAGAATAACAGGGGACTTTTAAAAGCACCCAGGTGATTATAATGTGAAACTGAGGCTGAGACCTGCTGACCTGGGGAGGAGAGAGATGAACAACTGGCCAGAAGGGTAAGAGGTGGGACTAGAGCACTGCTTCCCAAATTTTAACATGCAAACTGGGGCATTTTGATAAAATGTGGGTTTACAATCAATAGGTCTAGGACTGCCTGAAATTCTGCATTTCTAAACATTTCCCTGATGAAGCCAATGTTGCTGATCCAAGGACCACACTTTGAGTAAGAAGAAAGAAATAACATTAAAAAAACACACAATAATAACAACAGCATTTTTTGTAGAGAGAGCTAAAGCAAATTTGATGAAATGTGAAGAATTGGTCCATCAAGGTAAAAGGCTTTAGGGTGTTCACTGTCCTATTTTTTTTTTAACTTTTTTGCTTGGGTTTGCTATGCTTCTTAGGTGGGTAGAGAGAGAGAGAACCAATTAACTTCAAATAAGTCAAGGAAATTAATCTATTTAAGAAGCAATAAATCAAATCATTATGTTCTACACCTAAAATGAATACAATGTTATAAGTCAATTATGTCTCAATAAAACTGGGGGGGGAGGGAGGATCTAAGAAACAAAGAAATGAACCCCAAATTAGATAAAGAGGGCGCCAAAAAAATGTATACACATTTTAAGAAAGGAAAAAACTGTATTAAAATTATAATACTCAATATATATGGATAACAAAAGATGAATAGAAGTCACATTTGACTTCTGCAATTACAAGAGGTGCTCAAAGTGGTTACCATCAGCATCCAGACACTTCTGACTATGGCGAACACTGTTTGGTAGACTCTGGTGGCAAGCATGTAAACTGTTCCAACACCATCGCAGAAAAAGCAGGACTTGTTGCTGTGCGAGGCCTCCCGGATCTTCCCTTGTGCACATCACACACAGGACCATGCGTCTCAGACTTATCACGAATGTGTGCAATTGTTGGGCGTGTTGGAGGTTCTGTTGCACACTCACGCCTTCACTGTCATTGTACTTCCACAACATTCTCAAATTTCAAATACCACTTCAAAATGGTCTTGCGCTCCTCGAATGACAATGGTGCTTCTGTCATTTTCTTTGACTGTTCTGCCTGTTGCATGGTGCATTCGCATTCATTTGATTAATGCCAACTTTTGAGTGAACGTGATGCTACGCATTGCTACCGTACTTCAACTTTGAAAAGTACTACACAGATAACATCTCTTAAAACGTGTATACATTATTTTGGCACCCCCGTATAAAGTTTCCAGAATATATGCTCCTTTGAATTATGTATGTCATTTTTTCTGGAGTCAGAGGATTACTCAGATTATAAATACCTTTAACTTTTATTAACTAATTCACCATTCTGACATGTTAAAGGAATTGTTTTCAGAAATTGATAAAATAAAGTAACAGGAATGAATACTATCCTCTGCCCTACTAACCTGTAAGACATTGCCTACAATGACACTGTCAATAACCTCAGGCGATACTTTGCCAGCAGACAAGGCAGCCCTGGCAGCAAATTCAGCCAAGTCGGTAGTTGTGAAGTCTTTCAGAAGACCTCCATATGTTCCGAAGGGTGTTCGCTTAGCAGCAACGATAAACACACCTATTGCAGTGAGGAGACTCGTAAGCAATTACAGATTAGTCAGTGGCCCTTAACATGCTTTAACCTTATTGTAAAATACATTTTTCAATTAGATAACTGAAAATCTTTGCACACATGGAGTCTCCCCAAAACAATCAGAGCACACACATCTCCCCATCTTGTCAAGAAACTATGGGACTTTAAACAACGGATTTGTGCCTAGATACTGACCAATTATTGAGATCATTCAAACATTATACCACTATTGTATCTAAGTATAATCCCCCTGTTGATGCTAATGATCTCTTTCCACAGGACAAACTAAACCTATCCTAAAAAAAAAAAAAAAAAAGAAATCTCAGCTTCGCCTTTCATTTCTATACTTTGAGAGATTTACAGTCTAAAAGAATGTTAGGAGCAACTTATCTAACGACAATTTAGAACAAATCCAGTTCTTTACAGGTATAATATTTGATATTTACAAAAGGCCATAAGTATTAGTTTGGTGCAATGCAGAGACAGTAAAAAGATCAGTGGTTGCCAGGAGGTGGGAAAGAAGAGATGAATAGGTAGAGCACAGGGAAATTTTAGGGCAGGGAAACTACCCTCTATGATACTAAATCATAATGGTGGATACATGTCATTATATACATTTGTCCAAACCCACAGAATTGTACAACACAACAATGAACCTTAACATAAACTATGGACTTTAGTTAATAGTAATGTATCAGTACTGGCTCATCAACTGTAACAAATGTACCACACTAACCGTTAGGTGAAATGATCCTGATACTTAGAACGACCGAGGCCATCTTAGGAAGCAAGCTCACCCCAGCTCATCATGAAAAGAGGAGGGCCTGTATCACTTAAAGAGAATATTCTAGTATAGATAAGTGGGCCGATTAAATTGTTTACTGCTTTGGATTACACAGCTCTTAATAAAAATGTGCCTCCTGGCCATAAGCCACCTGCTTGAGCTCCTGGCTTTGTCTACAAGCTGCCTTGTTAGCTGGAGGCTACAAGCTCATGCCACTTGGCTATTTATAACAAGCCTCATCCTTTTTGGGGGGTGCAGAGCTACTGCCTTGCTGCTAAGATGCTGCTTCCTTCACGTAAGTCCCTTTAAACTCTTGATGTAATTTTGGAATTGTCAGCCTCTTTCTGCAAATGTTAATAAGGGGTACTGAGGTGCGATGAGGATGTATACGAGGTCTGAGAAATAAGTTCGTGAACTTGTTGCAACAATGTTGCTAACCTTTTTTTTGATATCAGAGGGATTATGCATTATGAATTTGTACCAACTGGACAGTTAACCAGGTTTACTATTTGGAAGTGCTGAAAAGGCTGTGTGAAAAAGTTAGATAACCTGAACTTTTTGCCAACAATTCATGGCTCTTGCATCACGACAACGCACCAGTTCACATGGCACTGTCTGTGAGGGAGTTTTTAGCCAGTAAATAAATAACTGTACTGGTACAGCCTCCCTACTCACCTGTTCTGGCCCCCAATGACTTCTTTCTTTACCCAAAGATAAAGGAAATAGTGAAAGGAAGACATTTTGATGACATTCAGGACATCAGGGTAATATTGGGTTGTCAGAAAAGTCATGACATATTTTTTCTATGTTTTTCATTGCAAAACTGCGTCATGACTTTTCCGACAACAAAATACGACAGCTCTGATGGCCATTCCAGAAAATTGCTTTGAAGGGTGGACTAGGCGCTGGCATGGGTGCATTGCTTCCCAAGGAAGAGTACTTCAAAGGTGACTGTAGTGATATTCTGCAATGAGGTATGTAGCTCTTTTTCTAGGATGAGTTCACGAACTTAATTGTCATACCTCGTATGACCATTTGCTTATCAGAAACAGTGGAGGTTAATTTGATTTGTTTCTCTGTAAATTTCCATTCATGAGTTTTTCCCTGTACTTCATAACCTAAGAAAGCATTTTTGTGTGGGAAGTGCTAATGGTGAAATATAAGATATACAAAAGAGTGTGGGTGGGAAAATAAACAAAAGCAAGAACCTCCCCTTATATTACTTCTGCTTACTTGTGCTTCCAGACTGTTACCTTGAGTAAGGCTAACACTAAACTAATTATTTTGAATGGGAAAATGCTATTAAATATATTTTAAAAATAATCTGGGCTGTGTAGATATAAAGGCTAGACAATTTAAAGGCTTTTTTTCTTGTAATTTCATAAACCGGATACCATGTCAATAGTTATTTGATCTGATGCCAACTTTATGAGATCATTAAAAGGTCTAAAACTTAACCTTTAACACTGAACTAAAATCTTGTTATTTTAAAAGGCCTCTGACAGGGCTGGAGGAGTGGCTCAGCTGGTTAAGAGTTCGCTCAAGAGTGTGAGCTCTGAGCAACAGGGTCGCTGGTTAGATTCCCGGCCAGAGCTGAGCTGCCAACAGGTGGCAGGATGGCTCAGCTGAAAAATAAAATAAAATAAAATAAAATAAAGGCTCTGACAATTCAGAAGCTAAAGATTTCCAAAAACTGAAAAACAGTGAAAAGACATTAATCCAGAGTGTAGGGAGTCAGGAATACCAAGAAAAGTCCTGCCAAGGTGGCTGATGTGACTGTGGAGAACAAACAACACTAGAAGAGAAACAGGAATTCTGCCTTCCTTTCTATAACATTAGGTGATTTTTTACTCGTTTAATTAGAGCAACTACAGACAACAATGGAGACAAATGAAGGAAAACTACTATTGCATCCATTTCAGCTTCAGGATTAAAGTACTGTAATTTGGCAGCCCTAACTGCCATGAAGAGATACGCAAACGTCCCCAACAAAGCTAGTGAGCTGTAAGAAAACTAATATTTGTTGGTTGCAATCCTTCTACCAAACACTGGGATGGGTGCTAGTAGAAAACTGGGGGATTGGTTCTTCTTGTTGACAGAAAGCTGATGACAATCTTTACCAAAGCCAGTTATGCTCCCTTTCAAATGTGTCATTTAAACCTACAATAATCAGTCAAGTGTTCTTTCTTATCCACTAATCCTGCAAGCACTTGCTATGCTACTTGAGAGATGTGCCTATCTATAATGTATTCTAACTAGCCAGTAACAATTGCTATTGGAAGCTCAAGGCTTGGGTTGTAGTCACAGCCACTGTGACTCTGTCATTATAGACATGCCATGTTACCTTTCTGGACATCAGTGTCCTCATCTGTAAAACAGGGAAGTAGGTAAAAATAGTCCTAGCTCTAACACCATAATAAGCTGTATCACAAATTTATAAACTTTATGCTTCCTTAATATTATGAGGTGTAATCAAACAATATGGTGAATGTTTAAATAAAAAAAAAGTTATTACAGTAAAAGACACATTGCCATTAATCCCTATCAAAATACTCCCCCTCACTTCGAACACACTTATCCCATCATTCTTGCCATTTTCTGAAGCAGTTCTGGAAGTCCTCTTTCGTGAGCGTCTTTAGTTGCACTGTCATGGCTACATTGATGTCCTGAATCATTTTGACTTTGGGGAAGAGTCAGAAGTGGTGCGGTGCCAGATCCAGTGAATAAGATGGATGAGGACACACAGTAATGTTTTTGACAGAAATTGCAATGTACCTGAAGTGATGTGTGACACGGAGTGCTATCATGATGGAGGATGATTTACAGCACACTTTAAAACACACCTTCTCTCAACCATAGCTCACACCTGACTGGCTGCACCCAACAAGTTGTCACTCACTGTTACTAAGGTTCAACACGCCACTTCCCGTATTGAAGATCCTTGCCTTTCCATTGCATGGCAGCAGTATTTACTGATCACAAAAGGAAAGGCTCCACGTCACACATCGCTTCTGGCATGGCACTTTCTGTCAAATAAAAACTTTACATTATGTCCTGATCCACCGTATTCACTGGATCTGGCACCATGTGATTTCTGGCTCTTCCCCAAAGTCAAAATGACGAGGAAAGGTAAACATTTTGAATCAATTCAGCACATCAAGGCAGCCACCATATGCAACTAAAGACACTCACGAAAGGAATTCCAGAACTGCTTCAGAAAGTGGCAAGAACGACAGGATGAGTGTGTTCGAAGCGAGGGGGAGTATCTTGAGGGGCATTAATGGCAATGTGTTTTTTACTGTAATAATTTTTTTTAATTTAAATGTTCACCATATATATATATATATTTTAATCACACTTCCTAGGTGTTGTAGTCCATTCTTTTCCCTTACTGGGTTCACAGTTTTCATTAATTTTTCAGAGGGATCTGTATTATAACAAAATGGTAAGAACCACTGATAAAATATGAAACAGAAAAATCAGAAAAATATCATTTTTAAAAAAAGATTCTCATTCCATTGCAGCTTTTAAATGAATTGGAATTTTTGAACACCTTGTCAAAAAAAAAATCAATGCTGTTTTAAGTAAATGTAGTAAATTCAGAGTTGGAAAGAGCACTGACCATTTAAATCTAACAGTAGGAAAATGAACGCACAATTTGTCTCAGAATACCTATTTTTCACTTGAAATGTTCACATGCCATTTTGGCTCTTCTGAGCTCAATACCCCTATCTAACTGCCGACCTGATATCTCCACTTGAGTGTCTCGATCTTTTCCAACTCTAGTCTTTCCCCAGTTTTCCTCACTTGGTAAGTGGTATGAACACAATTCTTCAAATCTGAAACCTGCAATCATTCTTGACATATCTCATTGACCTGCCCACCTATCACCAAGTTCTAGCAAATCCAACTCCAAATCTATCTCGCTACCCCCCCCCCAATTCCATTGTTTCCCACTCCAAAGCATCATTTGTTGATTGGACTTTGGAATCGAGTTTTAAATGGTCTTAAATTCTCCTGGTTGCTACACAGACAGTATTATTGGAGGAAATCAGGACAGAGTAGAAATCAAATCCTGCCATTTCCATACTTGAAAGTCTTCTATTGCCTTCCACTGAATTTAGAATAAAATCCCAGTTCCTTCACAGAGCCCACAGGGCCCTGACCACTAGAATGCTGGTTCTCAGATCCTGCCAAGCATTTTCCTGCAGAGTGGTCTTGACATAAAGTGTTCTACTTGAATGTGCTTCAAAGGACACATGAAATAAGGATGAACTCTGATGTCCTCAAAACTAAAATTCCATTGGGCTGTGACCACTGGTTATGAAAAGGGAGTTTACATAATTTTTATTTAAGAAGTTAACCCTAGAATTCATGTACTTAATGACTGTACTTTCCTAGACTCAGTCACTCAAAGGAATGGAAGGGAAAGGCAATAAGGCAGGTCTTCCAACAGAAAGCCAAAAAGCATTTTGGGGGAGCAGGTCACTCGGGCAGAAATTCCCTGGCGACTCTAAAACAACGTCAACTGCCCGCGAGCCCTGCCAACCCCCCCTCCCCCCCACCAAGTCCGAAAGGCAGCTCTGCACATCTGTGATGCACCCCTGCGTCCCAGGCTGCCTCGGGCTTATGGCACCGCCCGTTTTCCAGAAGCTGAACTAGGTGGGTCACTACTACGCGAAGAAGGGGAGTGACCGCCAAGGTCAGAAGCAAGCAAACCGTGCTCTGAACCCTCAAATGCAAACCCCACCTAAATCACTGTTGCTAGCGCTTTACAAATATGGTTTCTCCTTAACCCAGACGATCCCTTCGGGCTGTTGTTCCCCCCCTCCCCCCGCCCCTTTATTGCTTAGGAGACTGAACTGCAATCCCGGCAACCCCCAACTCCCCGTCTAGACTGGACGCAAAATCTGGCCTTAGGAGGGTAAGACCACAAAGGGCGAGGAGAGGCTGGGCCGCGGCGCAGTGCTCACCTCGGAGCAGGGCCATGGCGGCGGCACGAGTCTGACAGCGCAGGGCTTCTCCTCTGTTGATTGAGGACACCCCCTAACACCCCGCCTTAAGAGAGCGGAGCGGCGCCCACGAAGCCACGCCCCTGCCCTTTCACCTGCTTCCCAGCTGGCGCCAAGCCTGGGCCTGCGCATGCCCGGCCAGAGTTTATCTCCCTTTCCTCATGATGCTGCCCTCTGCGTGCTATCCCGTGGGGAACAGGGACCAAACACCCCTCCTTCCCAGAGGGACCTTGTAGAAAAGAAGGTCCCTTTCGATTTGATTTTTTCCCCCATCAGTGTTTTTAAAAAACTTTACCTCTCTGTTTCCAAATAGAATGATTTGACTCTATCCTATCTAAGTTCCCCCGCTACAAGTAATTAATGTTCCCCTTCCTCCCTGCGTGAGAATTTTCTTAAACGCTGGAATAGATAGGTATCTGCGCACCAAATGCCGGAAGTACGCGACCACGTTGAGAGAGGTGAGGCGTGGGCAGACTGGGCCGGAAGTTGAGGGGCGGGGCGTGGAGGACGGCGCGGGAGGATTGGTTGAATCGCTCTTGGTTGCGTGGCTGTGCGGCTGCATAGACCAGGGGCAGAGGCCTAAGCCGCTTGGCGGTTTTTGTCCGGGACCAGGCGCTCAGTGGGGGCGGGGGGTTGGCGTGCGAAGGGTATAGCGGGGGTCGTAGGGCAGGTGTGCTCCCGGGTCCCTGATGCTGCCCCCCGGATGAGCCTGCGGTATTTTCCTTATATGATCGGGCCCCGTGGCTGGCCGCGCCGCTTTCTTGGAGCCTGAGAGGATTATGACAAGGTGTCAGGCGAAGTGGGGCCAGGGGACCCGGGGCGGGGAGATGCGGGGCAAACGGTTAGGCTAGCGTTGAGGGAGGGGTAGGGAGGCCTCTGCCGCCGTAACTGTGAGCCCTGGTCGATGATGACGTGACCACTGCGCAATCTGAGTTCTGGGAACCAGGTGATGGAGTGTGCTGAGAACGGACTGAGACCGGGCGAGCGGGAGGCGACCGAGCAGAGAGAAATGCTGGAGATCCGCAACGCCAGGGCTCAGAAGCGGGCTGGAAGCCCTGGGCTTGGTTCGAGAGGGTGGAAAAGGGTGGCGGGAGGCACTGAGGTTTTCTGGGAGCCGTCGGGGAGTGCACGCCCTAGAACCCCGCTTTTCAAACGCCTTGGTGGCCCTCTCACATTGTTTTTTATTTCCAATTCTATTTTAATATGAAAACTGTAGATCATACAGAAAAGTGGAAAGACTTCTACAGGGAACCCCCGTAGATCCACTACCTGTATTCTACAATCGTTAACGTTTTGCCATATTTGCTATATCACATTACTTTTCCTGATTGTATTACTTATATTGTAGTTAGATGGGATATTGGCCCTTGTTCTTAGGAGATATATGCTGAAATATTTAGAGGTGAAGAGTCTTGATGTCTGCAACTAACTCTCAGATGACTCAAAAGAAATATATACAAATACACTGGCAGAGAAAGAGAGAAAGCAAATGTGGCAAAATATGACCAATTAGGGAATCTAAATGAAGAGGCATGTGGTTGTGCCTTGTTCTATTTTTACAACTTTTCTGTAGATTTTTAACTTTTCAAAGTAAAAATTGGGAGGAAAAGTGTAAGCTACAAAATTACCTGAAATAAATTATTTTCTAAAATATTTAGTCCTTTTCATGTTTAACCATATATAACCAGGTATATATTGTACAACAACAATATATATCAAAATTGGTTATTTTATAAATTTTTTGTTCTAGACACGGACCCTCTTGTGAGATGTAAAGTTGTCATTCTACTCTTAGACATTTATTGTAGCTTTGAGTATTTTTAGAAATGCTTTATCACTTCTTTCTGTATGATCTTTTTTGTTTTGGAGGGGGGACAGGAGGTTAGCATGAGACTGGAAATCAGTGAATCCATTGTAAATCTGCAAATTCTAGTGTTAAGACTTCATTAGGATATCAGAAATATCCAGCCTCAGCCTTATTGTCCACATTTTCTGGATAATTTCCTATGCTTAAACGTCCTATAATTCTCAAAATTGATGGCAGCTTGAGCAGCAGTGCCTTTAAAAGTTTCAGTGATAGAAACAGGACAGCTAATGAAGTTGGTAGGAGCTAGGACAATTTTTTTATTGGGTTATTGGAAAAGTCATGACCTGTTTTTCTCTTTTTTTTTTTTTTTAAGATTTTATTGGGGAATTGGGGGAAGGGAACAGACAAGTTGCTGTCCTTTTGTTCTTCAGTCTAGTTGTGGAGGACGGTCGCTTCACTGGCCCATGTTGGTATTATTGTTGTGCTCTTCCCGGCTAAGGCAGATTGGTTGCCGGTCATTGGACATCTGCTCATGGCAGCTCACGGCAGCACACTGCAGCCTACGCCGTCGCCGTTGACTCACGGCAGCCCAGCTCCAGGTCAAGCTATTGTTCAGCATCTTAGCTGTAGAGGGCAGTGTCACTGGCCCTCATGTGGGATCCGAACCGGGGCCCTGCTGCTCAGAGCTGACGTCCCAAGCCAGCTGTTAACCAACTCGCCACTTGGCCGGCCCCGTATTTTTCTGTTATTTGTTGCAAAAATGTGTCATGACCTTTCTGACAACCCAATAAATTGAGTATATGAATTTGAATGAATGAGATGCGTGCGCTTACTCATATTGTGTAGTTTGGAAAGTTGTGTATGTGCTCAGTGTTAATCTAACCATTTTGGTGGTAACTTCAATTTTTTGTTAATTAAAAGGCAATTATTAGCTTGGGTGTTGTTTTGTTCTTACAACAGATTCCTATTCTTCAGAAAGTTCAAGTTGCCAAACATTTCATCAGAAATGAAATGTAAACAGGAAGTAATACAAACACTGATTTGCCAAATTTCCTTGTTTTAAGTTTGTCCGAAGTCTGGGTGTGTTCCCAATAGCTTTAAGACCTTGTCCCAAGCTTAGGTGAAGGGTATATATTGTATTTGTGGTTTTTCCTCTGTTTGAAAGTTACTTGTAGTGTCAATATCCTTACTAAGCCTTAGAATTTCATTTAGTAATATAACTTTAGGTAAATCTCATACCTCCTTGTTTTAAGTTTACTTTCTAAAATGCTAATGTTGGTGGGAGGGGACAACACTGCCTTCAGCCACACGCCTCAGGAAACACACCTATGTTTCAACCAGTTGGGTTTAATGTTTGTTGCAGCAAGGGAGATGGCACACCAAGGGCACGCCTTAGGGAACTGAGGGACGCCTCAGTGAGGTGTTAGGAGTTGGGCCTTGATTAGGTGATTTGAGGAGGGTTCAGAGAGGCAGGGGTTTATTCTGGATTGGATGCTATTCGTAAGTAGGGACTAGTCTTTGGTTGGGTCTTTTAATATGATTCTATCTAGAAGGAGGGCAGACTAGAGCTACACTAAAGCTGCAACTGGAGAAGGAGCTGCAGTCACTCATATGAGCTGGGAGAGGGGTGCCTGATATTATGTGGTTTGCACAGTGATCTCATCTTTGTGCTTCGACAAAACTATGGAGGGGTCTTGTGTTGTCTCACTTCGTCACAGAGTGACCTCGTCTGATGTTAAGATTGTGTGCAAAAGAACACCATAGCCTAGCTTTTACCACCAGACCAGCTTCTACCACCCCTCTGGCCTATCTCTGTCAGACGGGGTCCCCGATGTCGGGCTGCTTTTTGCCTTTCTCAACTCTTACTAGATAAGTGCATCTCGTGAAATCTGGCTGTTTGCAAACACAGTTTTCCTGTTGAGGCCTGGAAGATAAGCCTAGACCTCTCTGGGTATGAGGTGAACACTTTCATGAAGAGAGGTTATTCTTTCATTATCCACCCAGAAAAGAGGGGACTCCCATCTTGAGGTTGGAAGTTGGGTTTCAGAGGTAACTATTCACTGACTAGTGTATCGTGAACATTTTTATCTACATTATGAAATATTTCACTAGTGGTTCCTAATGATAGCTGTTTAAGGGCACTCTCTCTAGCAATGTCTTATTCTATACAATTGGGTAAGCTATGTGAATTTTAAAGAAGATTTCCAGATGTTGGTGTGTGCTCCTCCAGGGAATACTTTACCCATGTTTCCATATACCATATTTCCCCATGTATAAGATGCACCCTTTTTTGAAAAATTTGGAGTCTAAAAACTGGGTTCGTCTTATACAGTGGTTGTAGATTTTTTTACTTGCATTTCCCGCTGAGGACGAGGCAATATATGAAGACAGTGATTCGTCATCTGATACAGATGAGGACAAGCTAATGGTTGGGAGTTTTGACAGTGATGAGGAGTTGTATTAATTTTATGATGAATAAAACTTGAGTTCAGTAACTTTATGTAATATTTTTTTTTTCAAATTTTGGGCCCCAAAATTAAGGTGTGTCTTATACATGGGAGTGTCTTATACATGGGGAAATACGGTAGGTGTTCAGTTTCTAGACTCTCTATTCTGTTTCATTGGTCAATTTTTCCATCTCGGTCCTAATTCCATCCATCTTAATTACTGAAGTTTCAGATACCTGTTAGGGAAACTTTTCCCTCCTTTTCTTAAAGACCGTCTTCCTTATCCTTGGGCCTTTGTTCTTTCATATAAATTTTAGAATTAGCCTGTCAATTCTCACCAAAAAACTATGGTGAAATTTTGATTTTTTTTTTTTAATTGGGGAATTGGGGAAAGGGGAACAGACAAGTTGCTGTTGTTTTGTTCTTCAGTCTAGTTGTGGAGGACGTTGTTTCACTGGCCCAAGTTGGCACCATCATTACGTTCTTCCTGGGCGAGGCAGATCAGTCGCTGGCTTCTGGATGGTCGCTCACGCTGGCTGCTGGCTACACACGGTAGCCCAGGGCAACCCACTGCCACAGGGGCTGCAGCCCACGGTGTCGCCGGCAACTCACGGCAGCCCAGCTCCAGGTTGAGCTGTTGTTCAGCATCTTAGCTGTGGAGGGCAGTGTCACTGGCCCTCATATGTGGGATCCGAACCGGGGCCCTCTGGCGTCCCAAGCCAGCTCTTAACCAACACGCCACTCGGCCGGCCCGAGATTTTGATTTTTAATCTATAGATCAACTTGGGAACAATTGAGATTTTTGTGGTATGAAGTCAGTCTTCTTATCCATGAAATATTTCTCTATTTTTAAAAATGTCATTGTTTTTCACTTACATTTTATAAATTCTTCTACACAGATCTTGTATAAATTTTCTCACTGTTTTTTTGTTTGTTTGTTTGTTTTAGCTGAGCCATCCTGCCACCCTTTGGCAGCTCAGTGGCAGCTCAGCTTGGGCCGGACATCTACCCACTGGTTTTTAATACCATCTTTATCATATGCAAATTTATACACATGACTGGGTCTTTTCCTATGCCCAAACTGCCTTCTTTGAATTCTCTTGCTTTAAGGTAATTACTCAGTAAGTATTGTTACTTCATAGGGAAAGTTTCCCCAACCCCAACTTTTGCAGGTTGTAGTTTGCCAACCCCTGGTTTGAATGATCATGATGCATGTTTGAATATAGGCCCCAGAATGATGTTTCTCAAGAAAGCATTAAAAAGAATCTTTTTAGCAAATGTGTTCCTGCAGTTTTAAATTGCATTTAGATTTGTCACACCACTTTATTTATTCCAAAGTATTTATTTCCATAAATTTTTATCCAGAGCTGAATATTAGTGACCAGTACAAGCATTTTTCTATAAACAAAGATGTAGTTTACAGATTTGTTCAAAATGGAAAAATATTTTTATTAGTATTTCTTCTACAATGTTAGATTCACCCCTGACTATGATGTGAACCCCTTCAGAGAAGCAGTCCTTCATCTAAACATCAGTTGGTGGCAAAATGTTGTATCCAAATCTGGATTAATCTGATACAATACCACTTTAGAAAGTAGCTTAAATTCATTTTTGATTGATCCCCTTTATTAGAAATTTTTTTTTTTAGGAAAAACAATCTTTAGTATTTAATGACCTTTATTATAAGAGAAAAAAAGTCTTATGTTTTATTATCATTAGCATCAACCTCTAATTTCCTAATTACCCCAATTGTCTAATTATGGCACCAATATGTATAAAAGGTGAATTATGGCTATTTGGTTCATGCAGTAAATTAATTTGAGAAACTGACTGCAGAGAAATAGTCTATGAGGAAAAACTACAGGGTCCTGCCCCTTGCTGTCACATTTCAGTAACTGTTTAGTCATATAGGCATCATACAAGGGTTTCGATTTAGGATACCCTTGCTGCCTTAGAATTAGGTCAAATGTAGGAAAACAATTAAATTTACTACATGCCAAAGAAATGGATTCTAATTTGTTACTATAATCTTAATACATTAAGGCTCTAAGTAAATATTTGATGAATTGATGGTAGTAACTTATTTTTCTAAGTTTTCCAAGTTCCTAGTTTTATCTTTTGTTTTTTTTTTACAAAAGTCTTAAAATTTAGTGTATAGGAAATCCAAGAGAAGAAACTCCTATTAACATGCTCCATGAAAGCGGGGGAAAGTGGGGGAAAAGTCTATTTTCCTTTGGATCTAATCTGCTTGCCAGGTACCATAAATCTAACTGCAGGTATGATGGCACAGGGAAAATACATGTAGGTAATATGCTTGTCAGCTTCAGCAACAATTATTAATATGTACGTAACACACATTACTTATATACATTATAGGTAAACAGGTAGGTCCCATATAATACTTAAATTCTTTATAAATATTTGATTCTTAAGGAATCTTTAAAATGCTTCTAATGTTTCCAAAGACAAATCAAAACTCCACCATGTTATGTCAAGCATTAACATTCTTCCCACAGCAACACCTATTTCAGAGAAATAAGTGGTAAGTCAGTTATCTCAGTAACTGCTAAAGGCACAGTGAGGAAAGTGTCAACTAAATTATAAATATTAAAAAAGAAAGATATCTAGTGCAGAGTTCAAACCTTTATGTTGAATTGTTAAAAATCATAGATTTCATGAAGTTGGAAAGTTTGAGTTCAACTGACTTAAAAAATGGAAAGAATATAAATGCTAACAAAAGATTCAAGTTTCCCTAAAGATGCTTCTTCCAGCCTCCAAGTGTTAAGTTAAATAGGGCAGACCTAAATATTAAGTAACCAAATTACTATATTTCTTTTGTTAGTGGTCTATAAAAGACTTTTTTAAAGTATATTGGAAGAGAACTAGTCTGCCATTTCTTAGGCTTAGTAGAAGACTATTCATAAGGTTCCTCCTGCATTTATTCTTACTGCCAAGCTTTTATTCAGTGAGTCTTTGGCACCTAGTGATTAACCAGTGACAGCAGAGAGGTAGTGACCTAAAGAGATTAAGAGAATGAGGGTATAAGACAATATGTAAGGACAGTAAGCCATTGCATTTATGGAATCACTGCTTCTCAAACTCCTTAACACTCTAACAAGGCATTTTGGGTTATCTTGAAGATTAAAGTCAGTCCTTAAAACAAGAGACTCAGTTTTAAACTACAGTGCAGTAAAAAGCAAATTATTCTTAATAACTTTCAAAAGAGGTAGCCACTGAACCGAATTGGTTTAGACTGGCCTTCCCAACAAAGTCAGTGTGTGGGTTGAAGGGGGTGTGTAATGTATGTCAGATTGTGTAACTATAACTGGGAAAGAAGGCACAGCTCTGCGTAGACACCCAAGAGAAGCCAGGATGTTTAATGTGGAGGTAGAGGGGATAATGCCAATGACACTGATTTGGACATGGTGGTCAGCAGTCTTTGCCCTGGTGCTGTCTTCTTCTGCCCGGTGGGCAAGGAGAATGAATGAGGAAGCTGAGCTCAAAGCGTGCAGTATACAAGATTGTTTAGGGCTTGGGGTGTGTTTTGTTTCCAACTGCCTTTTGAGTGGCTGAGTAAAAGAAGGTGTGTATGTGTGGCGGGGTCTTCTATGTGGAATTCATGGAGAAATCTTATCGTAATACAGAGGCTGTATGATTTGCAAATACCGTCTGTTCTTGTCATGGAAACAGCCTACAGATACGTACCAGAAGTATGGAAAACACAGTAAAAAATGGGTGTAAAGAATATGGAGGGTTTTCTAATCAAATGCCTGCTTTTGCCGAGACAAAAAACATTTGTGAAAGCAGCAGACATATGAAATCTGTTGTAATATTATGACTGAATACACATTTAATCTTTATTTCAAAGCAGAGATATTTATGGTTTTTATGTGGTAAATTTGAAAAATGTAGAAAATAACCTGAAAAAGGATAGCTGACATAGCTATTCTTCCTCTTTAAATATTGGGTTGTCAGAAAAGTCATGACGTATTTTTTTCTATGTTTTTCGTTGCAAAAATGCGTCATGACTCTTCCGACAACCCAATAGATCACACACAGAGAAAACCCAAAAATCTTTTGGAAAATAACAGTAGTCCCTGAACTGTTTTTAAGAAAGGTTTTTCAAATAATCTGACCCTCCCAATGAAGTTTTTCCTTTACTATCTTGGTTATCTGGAATTAATGTATTATGTAATATTCTTATTGGAGATTTAATGGCATTAAGGGATTAAAGGCTTTCACACTGGCTGGTTTGGGTTTTAATCTGTAAATAAAACAGGAGTTATTTTCTAACTTTTCTCTTATGTAGATTTTTGTGAAAATTTTATTGCCTCAGTAAGTGCATGGATAGCATTGGAAACATCTTTCCATCTTGCTTCCATTTGTAGTTTGGGACAGCAGTCTTTTTAGCATAACTTCCCTAAATGCAAGACTGCAGATCAGGGTTTGACCATATTAGGGACTAAGTCTTCTCATTTTCCTTCACAAACCAATACTCAAAATGTTTGGGCTGGAGGTCCATTACACCATTGTCTCTGCATGACCAGGTATCGAAAAATACCTTTGGGAAACATCTCCGAAGGCCCAGGCCTGTATTTTTGTTCTCAAGACATTTCCCTACAAACTCAACCACACCTATGGTTTGTCAACCTGGGGAAATGTCATTCACTATATGACAGTGTTGTGGTTGTTAGTACCATTATTTGTTAAAGGTCCTCTGAAGGCAATTTATGTGACTTACATACTTTTAATATTATTTTACTTTGGACATTCTCCAGATCAAAAACTAGGCAGTTTCCATTTTATATACTGGCACTTTTTATAGGGCCATGGGGACTGCAGGTTATGATGTGTATTTGTTTATACTGAAATCATACTTAAAAAATCTTCCATATTTCAAGTGTTTTTATTCTGAGCAGTAGGTACAAAAAATAATGACAGATGTGTCTTATTCTGTATAGTTCAGCACAGGCTCGCAATCTCTGATTTGATCAACTTTTATAGATTGAACAGACCCTTAAAGTTACTTTACTGTATGTACTTCCTTCTTGCTCTCACTGGCAATTGAGCCAAAGTTGGAAATGTGCTTTTTCAGACTTCATTGAGAAACTCCAGATTGAGACACGCTGGGATGTGGATTGAGTCCATAGTCAGAGAAGATGGATTAAATGGGAACAAAACGGGAAACATGTGCTTGTAGTCTAATAGCAGTTGCTGAGGGTCATTCCGCTCTTGTAGTTGTGCCTGTGGAGAAGGATAAGACCATTTAAAATACTTAACTACACCTATAGCCAGTTTAGGTAAATTCACGAAAGTGATTTGGCACATATCATAGAAGTAGTTCCGTTAATTAGGTAGGATTTCAGGAGAATATGGTCTCCCTATCCTTGAGGTATTTAGCAGGGAGATAAGCCCTGGTTTAGGCTTGTTGGAGATTAGATGATTTTAACTTCAGTCCTATTTCTAGCATTTTTTTGGAAAAATTTCCACCTCAGTGAGAATAAAAATAAATACATTTTGGCTCTCTCGGGATACAGTGGCTTCCTTTAGTGACATTAATTGGAAGATTTAAAGGGACAGAGCCCCTCCCCTATTCCCCTCTATTTGGAGCCAGACATTTTAGGAAAAGTATAACTGAAATGAAAATTTTGAGTTCATTAAAGGGGCTGAACAGCAGACCTGAGCAGGCAGAAGAAGTGATCAGTAAACTTAAAGATAAGGCAACTGAAATTCTCGTTTGAGGAGTAGATAGAAAGAAAAGAATAAAAGTGAATGGAACCTGAGACCTGTGGGACACCATAAAGCATACCAATATACATCAAAAGGATCCCAGAAGGAGAAAAAAGGGACAGCAAAATATCTGAAGAAATGAAGGCCCCAATTTTCCCAAATCTGATGAAAAAAAAATACATATATCTCCAAGAAGCTCAACAAATCCCAAGCAGAATAAACTAAAAAAGATTGACACTGAGACACAGAATAGTCAAATAATTAAAACTCAGTGACAAAGAGAGAATATCAAAAGCAGTAAGAGAAATAACGCTTCACATACAAGGTCTCAATAAAATTAAGAACTGATTTCTCATCAGAAACCATGGAGGCCAGAAAGAACTGGGACGGCATATTTAAAGTCCTGAAAGAAAAAATCGTCAACCAAGAATTCTACATTTGGCAAAACTATCCTTCAAGAGTGGAGAAATTAAATCATTTCTAGATAAGCAAAAAAGGGGGAGTTGGTTACCAGTAGACCTGCCCTACAAGAGATACTAAAGAAAGCTTTTTAGGCTGAAATGAAATGACATTAGACAGCAACTCAAAGCCATAAGAAGAAATAAAGAACAATGGTAAAGCTAACTACGTTGGTAAATGTAAAAGTCAGCATTATGTTTTTGGTAACTCCTCTTTTTTTCCTGTATGCTTTATACAAATGCAGGAAACAATTATAAATATTAATGGGCACACATGTTTACCAGATGTGACCTCTGAAAATAATATAAAGACAGAAGGATGGAGATACTATATAGCATCAGGATATTTGTATACTATTGGCACTTAAGTTGGTATCATTTAAACTAGATTGTTTTAAGTTTAAGATGTCAATTGTGATCACCAAGGTAACCACTAAGAAAATAATCAATATACAAAAAAGGAAAGTAGGTAATCAAAATGATACACTACAAAAAATAAACACACAAAAGTCAGTAATGGAAGAATTGAGGAACACAAAATATATAAGACATACAGAAAATAAGCTAAATATCAGAAGTAAATCTTTATCAGTAATTATTTTAAATATCAAATTGAAGGCAATTAAAAGGCAGAGTGACAGAATGGATTTAAAAAACGTGATCCATCTGTATGTTACCTATAAGAGACTCACTTTAGAGACACAAAGATTTAAAGTAAAAGATATTTGAAGTAACCAAAAAAGAGCTCGAATGGCTGTATTGTCATACAAAATATTTTAAGTAAAAAAAGTTACAAGAGAAAAAAAGGTTCAATCCATCAAGAAGATATAACAATTCTAAATATATATGCACCTAGCAACAGAGCCCAAATATATGAAGGAAAATTGACAATTGAAAGGAGAAATAGTTCTTTAACAACAGTTGAACACTTCAATAGTCCACTTTCAATAATGGATACAATAACCGTGGAAGATCAATAACAGAGTCCATGAACACTATAAGCCAATTAGACCTAAAAAAACCATACACATGACCAAGTTGGAGTTATCCTTACTATGCAAGGGTGGTTCGACATACACAAATATAATAATATCCTCTCGTATGTATATACTTCATGCATCACTGATGGGAATGTAAAGTGATGTAGCTGCTATGGAAAACAGTTGAGGTGGTTCCTCAAACTCTTAAACACAGAATTACAGTAGTGCTCCCCTCTCCCCTTTTATCTGTGGTTTTGCTTTTTGTGGTTTCAGTCTGTGGTCAATCATGTTCCAAAAATTAAATTTCTAAGTGTCAATTTAAAAGCACCCATGTGTTTTGCATCTTGAAAGATGGGCTAAAATTTGAAAGTAATTTTAAGTGTGTAAAAGTAGTTTGAAATAATAGGAAAAGTTTAAAAGAGGCAAAGACATTTAGGGATGAATAAACAACCAGCTTTAGTAGTTTAAGATACCAAATGATGGCTGTGATGTAACACTGGTGGAATGGTCTCTGTAGGATCACTGAGAGCTCACTCTGAGCTTCGCTGAATTTATTATTTCAAACCTCTCACTCAGAATATGAAAATGTACATAAAATGTGAAATGGCAGGAGGCTCTTAAATTTTTTTTAATAGGACTTATGTGTTTTTTTGTTTTGTTTTTGTTTTTTGTACATCAATCAGATGTATCAGTAGGTTCTATTTATTTAAAGGGCTTGAAGAAATTGTAAAGGATTTAGAAGGAGGGATGTAACAATAGGTGAAAAAAAGAAAAGTTAAATGATACCTATATTACAATTCAGCAGCAAAAGTCGTGTATACATTTAATCAAAATTCACAAGCTAGTCATTTCATAGGATTCCTCTTGGGAATCCTTTGGTGAGTTTAACAATCCCCTCAAATTTACATTTTTAAAGGTCGGCATGCTGTGCTTATACTGTCCAAACAAATGGTTTGCTTTAATGAGCAACTTGTATTTATCCCACACAAGATATGTTCAAGTATAAAAGGAGGACATGGATTGCCCAGTTTCCTCTGAGCACTGTCTAGGGAGCAATGGAACATAAAACTATAGCTGGCAAAATAACAAAAACAAAAAAAATGTTTTGACAGAATTGCCAGATACTGAAATTGACGACTGAGGAAGACTCAGTCAGAATATGACTGTATACGAGGTCTGACAATTGAGTTCCCGAACTTGTTGCAACAATGTTGCTAACCTTTTTTGATATCAGAGGGATTATTCATTATTAATTTGTACCAACTGGACAGTTAATCAAGTTTACTACTTGGAAGTGCTGAAAAGGCTGTGAAAAAGTTAGACGACCTGAACTTTTCTTCAACAATTCATGGCTCTTGCATCACGACAATGCACCA